AGCTCTTCTGCAGACTCTTTTTCCTCTAGGCTCCCCTCAATGTTAGCATGCCCCCAGCTTTTGGTCCTCAAGCCCTCTTCTCACTCTGTACTTTCCTGCATGATTGTATCAAAGTCATGGCTTCTGTTTCCTGAGTTTTACATACCTACACCTCTTCTTCAGATCTTTTTTTCTTAATCCCAGACTCCTACATCCAATTCCACAAAGAACATCTCCATTTAATATATTTTGGGTAACCCAAACTCAGTACATCTAAAATTAAACTCTCTGTCTTTCCACATAAGGTCTCCATATCTTATCATCATTGTCTATTCACATGAGTACTAAAAACCAAGATCATAGGATATGCTTGGAATGACCCTCTTCATCTTGCACATATGTCAATGTCCATTTTCTTGCCTTCTTCTCCATCCCCCCTGCTTTTTCTTCAGTGGTTATATGCCCAACATCTACTGGGCATTTGCCAGCTATGGATATATTATACATTTTAACTCATTTAGTCTACAAACAACCCTACTATTATTATAGCTCCATTTTACAGATCAGGAAATTAAAGAACAGAGAAGTCAAGTAACTTACCCAAGTGTTCACAGGAGTAAATAGTAAAATCAGGATTTGAAAACAGGCAGTTGGCTTTAGAGCACTCTACCTTAAGTGCCAGAACTTCCTGTATGAGCCCTCATTATTTATGTCTTGTATTACTATAGAAGCTTTTTAATTGGATTCTCTTTTCTAGTTCCACTAACTCCTTCCTCAAATCCTGTCTTTTGTAGGACTAATTCCCAGAGTAAACTTTCTAGAATACAGGCTAATCATGTCAGTCTGATGCTTAAAATCAATCATCAGTGCTTCTCCATCACCTGAGGCTAAAGTTCCAACTCCTTAATGACACACAACATCCTTCATGATTTGACCCCAGCCTACAAGTACAGCTTCTTCTGGAACTTTACCAGAAAAGCTGACCCCAGCCTACAAGTTCAGCTTCTTCTGGAACTGTCCAGCCATTCCAGACCACTTGTACTTTCTGAGCAGACCTTACTCTCTCAGTGTGGCTCTGTGCTTTGCATTCATTCATCACCCCTATTTCAAGGGCAGGCTGTTGCAGAAATCGCTAATAAATCCTCAATAGCAGAACAGATAATCCTTTGTGTTTTATACAAAGTATGGTAAATGGGAGTTTACTCTTACTGGCCTTCATAAGTTCATGGAGGGAAGTGTTGATTCTTTGTATCCGAGGTACCCACCAGAGTGCTTGGTGTGAAATAGTCACTCATTAAATTGTTGAGACAATGATGAAATAACTGCTTCATTCCTTTTTAAGATTTTCCTAAACAAAGCCTAGGACAAGAAGATCTCTTGAATATCACTGTTTTTGTACCCTGGTTTACTGCCTTGCAGGGGAAATTCACCTTGCAATGGGGTCAGAATAATAGAGAGGCCATATTGTTTGGTCTGGCACATCTTGGGGATGGATGTGAGGATCTGGAAGTAAAGAAGAGGTGGGCCGAGAAGGGAAACATAAATATATTTATGTTAGTGTTGGGAACAATTTGCAATACCTGAATAATGACACCAGGACATAAAACATGTTCAATATTTTGGGAAGTTGTTTGTGGAAGAGATAACTAAGGGGGAGAAGGTGCTTTTTCCCCCCTCTGCATGGTGATTGCTTTTGGGGAAAGCCAATGCAGAAATTCTTGGGTTGTAGAATTTTTTTTTTCAAGTACACGATAGTTATATTTATTTTATAGTGTTCTGGCGCTTTTGTGACAGGCAGCCAGAAGTGAAATTACCTTCACTGGTCTTGGCTCAATCCTTCCTCCACTCCTAATCATCCCTTCAAACCCACATCCATTAGACAGAACAGTTGTCCTTCACCACTAAAGAAATGCAGCCCAGAGTTATGTTACCGTGGAAACAGAATCACTTTTTTGCTGCAAGACACATCGCTTTATCTGCATTATTATGAAGCAGAATACATCGGTAGGGCTAGAAGGGGAATCAAATACTCTACCCACCAGTGTTGTACTTGGCCTTTGGGTGAATAAATGACTTTCAATTAGAGTGCTTAAATATCTTTTAACTTCAATAATTGTTATTAGAGCTCCAACAGAATTTTACTTGGAAAAAAGTAAAAAATTTGACTCTGCTGTTCAGAGAGAGCTATAAATTCTTTCAAACTGCACCACTTCTGTTAAAAATGTGTGTGTGTGTGATAGAGAGAATTTACAATTAATGGTTTCATTGTGTGTGAAATAAATGTGTTTGTCCCTTGTTTTTTGACTTTCTGACTTGATCCTATTGCAGATTTATGAAGTTGTCCTTCCCTCTTCCTTTGTTTGTCTCTAAACTGCTTTGTAGTGAGCACATATATTTACAATCCCATCTTCGGTTGGGCTGTGTGTATTCAGATCCTCTCTTCTTGACTTGCTGCTGAGCTTCTTCTGGGTCTGCCACTCACTCCTGCTTCTGGGTCATAATAGTCTCCCTCAGCCAAGACCCTTGCTCTCATTTGCCTGCCTGGTTCCATTACCAGGAGGCTCTCCTCATCTCATACCCAACCCTAAATTTAGTTATACTATCTTATTTTATTTTCTCTTCTTGTAACTGCTCTATTTCTTATTGTTTGTGTTGTGAACTGTCTTGAAGACCAAATCTGCAAGAATTACACTGGTAGAGGAATCAGTTCAGTAAAATTCCAAGAACAAAACAAAAATCCATCATCCCTTCAGTTTCAAAGTTGCTCATAGACATTGAGTTTCCTTACAAGTCTAAAGAAAACACTATTAAAAAACAAACAAGGGCAGCCTGGGTGGCTCAGTGTAGCACAGCCTTCAGCCCAGGGCGGGATCCTGGGGACCCGGGATCAAGTCCCGCATCAGGCTTCCTGCGTGGAGCCTGCTTCTCCCTCTGCCTGTGTCTCTGCCCCTCTCTCTCTCTCTGTTTCTCTCATGAATAAATAAATAAAATATTTAAAAAACAAACAGGACACATGTTCACATGCACACACATGCAATCTAACTAGAATCACAGAGAAATCTCATATAATGGGAAAGGAAGATGAGTCTCTTACTGGCTAGATATAAATGGGAACAGAATGTGATACATTAAAAGCACTAGTGTCTTAATTGTAGAGATAACAGGGTAGCATTAAGAGACAAGTGATACTTAATGAGCAGCTAGTCAGTTCCAGGTGTTTTTTACATGTACATTCCATTTAATTCTTAAATTCATCCTCAAGAGTGATGAGAATTGAGACTCAATTGCCACCCAAACCCTAGATAACAGTAATATCTGATTCTGTGTTCTTTCCAACAGTATCACTTTGTACGTGTGCAGCAAAGCTCTGACATGTGGAGGGCTAATAACACCTAAGTTAAACTGAGGAGAATATAGTCTCTGATCCTGGCATTGCCTCCCCTGGACAGGACTTTGGGAAAATCATTTATTTATTTCAAACTCTGATTTGTCCATCCTTATCTAATAGGGATAAATAACCTTTTATCTCCTCATACATACAGGGAATTAAGTGGTTAATGTGGGCAAAGCACCTTGAAAATACAAAGGGAATCCTATTTCTGTAGGAAGAATGACTGACTATTGTTACTATAATAGTAACAATATAATAGATGCAGATTGGTAGGTTCATGTAATTCACAATCAGTCCAGTCCCAAGTCATTGTCAATCCCAAATTTGTACTGTCTTTGAGAGCAGATCCCATCATGTATTTCTTCTGTGTCTCCCAAATCATCTTAACACAGTGCTGGGGTGTGCAGTGGATGCTTAATACACATTTTCACATAATGGAGTGAGTGATTAAATCCAACTATTGTTCAATATCTTCTTGAGTCATCAGTTACAGATGCAATTTTATCATAATATCAAAAAAAGATTTCTTAAATGCCTAGACATAATTAGCCCAAGTTGCTTTAAGAAGATACAGTCATAACCCTGGTTTATAGTACTATCCAATTGAGGGTTGTTTTTTTTTAAGATTTATTTATTTATTTTGGAGAGAGAGACAGAGAGAGAGGGTGAGAGAGAGCATGGGAAAGGGGCAGAGGGAAAGGGAGAGAGAATCTCAAGTAGACCTCGTGCTGAGTGTGGAGACCCACACATGGCGTGGTCCCATGACCCTGATATCAGGAACTGCATTAAAACCCAGAGTTGGATGCCTAACCGACTGTGCCATCCAGGTGCCCCTATTCAATTGAGTTTTAACAGGAATAATGGCCAATACTTTCTATTATGACATATAAGGAAATATTTTATTTCCCTAAACTCCATTGCTTGCATTTCAGAGAATCTTGGGAAATGTCAGTGGAATAAATAGCAAAAAATAATTTACTTAGAACTGAAATTTCACCTCTCATAAATTAACAATAACTGCTCCATTTTGAGCATTTACTGTGTATGTACTGTACACACACTATCCCTTTAGTCTTTATAATGACCCTATGAAATTGGATCTATTATTGTCCCCATTTTATAGACAACGAAACAGATTCAGAGTAGAAATAACTTGTCTAAGTCATAACCTGTCCAAGTCTGTAGCACAGCCTGATCCAAACCCACCCAAGGCTGAGTCTAAAGTGTTGCCCTTAACCAGGATCTTGCACACCAGCCAAGCACGTAGAAAGCCAGCTTTCTTTTGCTGCCTATCTTTGTCAAGTTCTTTATCCTTCATTTTCTACAAGAAAGGAAGGAAGAGAAGAAAAAAAGGAGGGAGGGAAGAATGAGGGAGAAAAGATGAAGGGAAGGGAAGGGAAGGGAAGGGAAGGGAAGGGAAGGGAAGGGAAGGAAAGGGGAGGGGACAGAAAGGGAAGGGAAGGGAAGGGAAGGGAAGGGAAGGGAAGGGAAGGGAACCCCTCCTAAGTAACCCAGGGAGAAAGTGGGACCTATCCAACTTAACACTGATCAACACTGTCAAAGAATAAACATATGGAGTGGCTGCTTGGTCTGATTTGATGTCATTTTGCCTTTGTTTTGCATTTATCAGGAGAAGTATTCTTGCAGATTAAAGGACCACTGGAAGATACTTATAAAATCTACTGCTACCACCATGATGAGGCACACAGTGTACTGGAATCCTATGAAAAGGAAGAAGAGCTGAAGCAACATTTGAGCCACTGTATCCAGTCCTTAAAGTAAGGTCTTTTCAAATGATGATTTCCATGCCTAGCAGGGAACATTTTAACTGGGTGTAGATGAAAGTTCTCACATAAATCCTAGATTTGATGAGGCTTGCTGGGAGCTCTACTTTGTGTTCTCTTTATGAAAAGCTGACATGCCAGAAACCCTGATTGACTTTTTCCTCCCCCCCTGTGAGCATGACTAAAAATAACATAGGAGATGATTCGGGGCTCTGTAAAGATGGAAAAATGCAATATCAAAAAAATGAAATGTGGAAGAAAAGGCCCTTCTTAAAGCTGTTGTTAGCCGCCTGCCCCCACATGAGACAGCAGTGGAGCATGTGGACTAATAAAGTTAGTGGAATGTCCTGTGACTCTCTGAATGGCTCTCACCTTCCCCCGGATTAAAGAGGGGATATGGGTGAGGAAAGGTCAGACCCTGTTAAAGTTAGTTTCGGGAGAATTAGTCATGCCTTCCTTCCTCATCTCTAAAGTCTTGGCACTACATAATATATGTTGTTTTTAACCTGGAAGAAATGATTCACTATAAAAATCTGAAAAACATAAGGAAGCACAAATAAGATAAAAAAAAAAAAACTTGCTATCCCATGCATTAGCTCCTTGCTAGACCATGTATTAATGACCACAGCTTGGTTTTCTTTTTGATTTTTTTCATGTACATGAAATATGGACATGTGTTTGGGCTGATCCTTTGAAATGGAATAGGTATCTTACTGTATATATTGTGTTCTACCGCATGATGCTTAAAGCCAGAATTTCTGCCCTACTCCACTTCTTAGTGGTTCCACTGTGGTCTTTCATTTCTGAGGAATATCCATTATCAAAGATTTAACCAGAGAGGGTTGTGATATCTAAATCAAAGCATACCAGCCAGTCTGAGCACTCCCCCCCTCCTTATATATTTTATAGTAGGGGGACAAAAAATGGGGTCCTAATGTGGTCCAAGAGATGGATAGCTGAATTAAAGTGAAATTAGCAGACTAAATGAGACTAGAGTAGTCCCCCACCTTATCCATGGGGGATACATTTCAGTGGATGCCAGTGGATGTCTGAAACCAGGCATAGTACCAAACTCTATATATACTATGGTTTTCCTATACGTGCTGACAATTCAGAAGGAGGAGCATCTGCTTCTGGATCACGACTAACTGAGGTAATTAAACCCCCCAGATAGGGGAACTACTGGACTCTGGAAAATGTCTTTCAGAAGAGAACTGGGACTGAAAGTGGCCTTAGACAGGGCGCAGAGAATTTTTAAAAATTAACTTTATCACCTTCTACGGGTCATTAAATTGCTGCAGTTCTTTACCCATTTTCATATCATGGAAAAGAATATATTCAAGTCACAATGTCACAAACATTTATTTATGCTTATGCTATAGCAAGCATATATCTGGGTGCTGCAAATTCAAAACTAAATAAGAATTAGACCCTGTCCACAAGGAGCTTGATATGATCAGGTAATTCTTAAAGATAAGATGTGACAAGTAGTTCCAGTTCATTATTTCTCCAGTATTAGCAGTTTAGTGTTAGAAGTCAATTCAGAGAAACCTTAAAGTTTGAAGTTGTATCCACCTTAATAAATTCATGAATTAGGAGCAACATCTTCTAAATATACAGATACTTGCTTTCCTGTGGAAAAATAATGATGTTATACCAGGTGTGAATGAATACTTTTCTTACCTTAATTGAGTGGCAAGATCTGATCCAGTAATGTGTCTACCTTGAGTCATTGTCCTTCTTCAATTTCTAGAAATAAAAGAGAGGAAACTCACAGCAAGTGCACGACTCACACCTTTGGCCATCACTCCAACTACAACCCCAGGAATGGAGGTCCATACCAGGAGCAGAAATAGTTAACTTACTTTGGCTTATGCTCCTAACAGTTGACTGGACATGGAGCTGTCAGTTCAGTGGGGGTGAATACTAGTTTATTATTCATTAAGACTTCTGACTTCTAAGAGAAAGAAATGGACCCTACCAGAATATTCCACTTGGCAGTGTGGTTCAGTACCATAGTCCCTAAAAGCAGCTAAAGGCAGAGGTAATTTTGAAATATCAAGAAGTCTCAATTACTGAAAATGACTTCAGACTCAATGACTTATTTGATCTTTTTCTGAAAGCCTTGAGTTATTGCCTTGGTGGGTGTCCCAAATCTGGTATATTCAGCACTATTCTGATTTTAGAGAATAATTTCAGGCACTGGAAGGTGCTAAGGTTTAGAAAGCACGAAATCCAAGTGAAGTAATATTGGCACAACTATTTCTTAAGGGAAAGAAAAATCAAAATAAAATAGCTTAAGTTAGAGCTATTTTCCCAAAAGTTGCCTTTCCATGAAAATAAAGTTGATGATGAATTGTACTGGTCTGCCTGAAAGCTGAGAGCAGAATTATTGACATTACTATAATACTGACCCCAATTGAGCTAAGCTTTAAATTCTGAGAAACAGGTTTTTAAACAGGTTTATAGGCCAAAGAGAGCCTGGAACACCCCAAGGGCTTGGCTTCCCTTGCCAAGTAATCAGTCAGAGCTATTACTATGGCTCTGCCTTTTCCTTGTGGCTAAATAACGGAGCCTAAGTGCACAGTTGCCAATTTCTAATGAATATTAGGTGTGGCCTCCATTTTCTACCGTGCAAGGGGATATTGGAACAACAGGGTTTGAAGCAATATCCATGAGAGAGGTAGCTTCAGGTCTCAGAAGTTAAAGCAGATTTTTAAAGCTTAGGTTGCATTTGAACTAAAATTAAAACATGTTTATTGAGGGCCTAATAAATATTTATTAAGAATGCTAGATAATATTCGAAAAAAATATGTATGCATAGTTCTTGCCTCCTAGGAACACACCTTCTACTTGGGTAGATAAACAAAACCATCTGGAAAGTTTAATAACAATATCAGAGTTAATTTAAATAACACACCAGAAGCTGTCACGGTGAGGTTCAAGGCTAATTTCCAAAAGGATGGTAGAGAGTTTCCTGGTTTTGTAACAGACTTGAGCTCATAACCTTTGGCTATTCTTTGAAGCCCATTATCTTTCAAAAGAGAAGATAATATTTGTATCTAGAAAATATTTTTCAATCCCTTTGAAATGTTAGGACAGCACTTCTTGTATGAGTTCCCCTGTGTCAGATCCACAGGAATGTGTATTAAAGGTGCAGAGTCTCATGTTCTGCTTCAGATGAAAGAGGAAGAAAGGAAAGAAAGAGAAAGAAAGAAAGAAAGAAAGAAAGAAAGAAAGAAAGAAAGAAAGAAAGAAAGAAAGAAAGAGAGAGAGAGAAAGGAAGGAAGGAAGGAAGGAAGGAAGGAAGGAAGGAAGGAAGGAAGGAAGGAAGGAAGGAAGGAACTGTGGGGGTCCAGTCCACGAAGCTACATATTAGCTAGATATTAACAAGCACCCTGTGATAATTGTGGATACATACTCAGCTTAAAAGAACACCTTCAGAGAAAGAAGCACATGGATTTTCTTCATGACTATAGATACATTCAGGGCTTGGAGATCTTAAGAAAGAAAAGACTAAAAGTATCTGGAAGCACAATATTACATTTACATCTGTAGCCTGCAAACTGGAAATCTGCATGTTTTTATTTGTTCAACAAGGAGTATTTACAGATTCTCAGTAGTGACCCCTTAGACTGCATGAAATGTTATTAATACAGTCTCTAAATTTATGGAAGTCATTTGCTAATGCTCTAGTTACTTAGCCTCTTTGGGGTTATTTAAGGTTTCTGATCTGAAGGAGGAAAAAGAAAAAAAAAGCTATAAATGTAAGTGCTACTATAATTAGAATAGCCTGTCTGCTACCTCCTTTTTCTGTTTTTCTAGCTATAAATACCACCAAATCTCTGCTGCCTTTCAGAGGCCCTAGAGATCTGTTTATTTTGTAATAGGAAAAGAACTAAAGGACTTTTCTGAGTTTTTTGGTAGCTAGAACACAAGTTTCTAGCTTTATGCCTCATTGTTAAAAATTTATATGCATTTTTCTTCTTCCAGACCGAAGCGACTATCCTCAGGAGGAAAACTAACTCTAGTCATGGGGGTATTTTGGCTGTTCATATGACTACTACAGCTCCTCCATTCAGAAGGAAGCTGAAAGCTCATGCAAAGCAGAACCTAAAAGAATAGAGTTCAATATGTTTGCCACATTTTATATTTCTTAATGTTATTCTAATGGAATGTTCCAAATTAAAATTAAAATCGTTTTTGGAAATTTTTTCAGTTCCTTGTTATGTGGCACCATGTTTGAAGAAAACTATAATCATTAAGATATAGCCACATAGGAAATGTGTTCATTGTAAGTCAAATTATAATGATCCCATGAAGGTAGGAGGTGTGGAAGTATTCATATTAAGTTACTTTCCCCATAAAAGGATAAATGAACACAATCTAATTTCTTCCTTCCTGAATTGTCCTTGGCTGGGGTTAACTTCAAAATTTCAGCCTAAAAGGGAGACTTTAAAAAAAATGATGAGCAAGTAAGGAGACCCTATAACATAATGCTACTATGCCATTACTCCAACAGGGTTTCCCTGTTAGAAAATCTCTGAGGTTCCTTTTTATACAATGCTACACTTACGTTAAACACCATGCTAATTTATGTCATAGTATTTGTTTTATTTGGTTGAAATAAATGAAAAAGAAAAAAATCTATATCTTTTTTAGGAGTTAAAAGAATAATCTTTTCTTTCAACTTCAAATTTCGTGTTTTGGCTCCCAAACGATCATGTTGTTCACTTGTTCTCTTCCATAGAAAAATGCATTTATATTATTATTCAACTTCTCCCCAAAATTTTCTGATCTATGATCTACAGAGCATACTAGGAAAATGAAATTCTCATTAGAAGGGGACAGAGATTAAGACAAAAATGTGAGCTTAAAGGAAATGAATAGAAGGAAATACAGGGTTCAGGGTGGCACAATTTCTTTCATTGACATAGAAGAGTTCTTCAAACAACAATAATTGCCTGAAATGATAGCAGCCGCTGATTTTTTAAACATTAGAATTCTTTACTTGATTCCAACAAGAAGATCTTAAAGTCAGCACAACCTAGTTATTTTGGGGTATCTAGGAATCCGTTCATATAAGATGTCTGAAGAGTGAAGGAGTAATTGTTTTTACATATACGTATACCATTGTTTTTTGCATATATGGAGTACTGGGATTGATTTTTTCAAAATTAAGTCCATTAAAATTTATGAAATTCAAACTACATATTTATCATGGATTTTCTCAGTGAAAATGAAAAAAACATCTACTATTATGAGATGGGGGTCACAATATTTTTTTTTACACTGAAAATATTCAGGGCAAATGGGTGGCTCAGTAATTGTCTGTCTTCTGCCCAGGATCCCAAGGTCCTGGGATCCAGCCCAGCATCAGGCTCCCTGCTCTGCGGGGAGCCTGCTTCTCCCTCTCCCTCTGCCTGCCAGTCCCCCTGCTTGTGCTCTCTCTCTCTCTCTCTCTCTGTCAAATAAATAAAAACTTTTTTTTAAGTGACAGTGTTATGGAGAAAAAATAAAACAGGGAATGAAGATAAAGAGAAGCATAGGAGGCAAGGCAAAATTTTTTAAAAATTGGTCCAGGAATGTTTCATTGGGAAGAAGAAACCTTTGAGCAAAGACCTGAAGGAGATACAGAGGGCACCATATAGATACCTAAGGAAAGAGCAAGCCAGCAGAACTGCAAGTGCCAAGACCTGGAGGCAGAAGCCTGCCTTTGGATTTCAGTAAGATCAAGGAGGCTGTGTGGTTGCCATAGTTTGGGGGAGTTTGTGAACAACAGGAAATGAGGTAGAGAAGAAATCAAGAGAGACAGATCAAGTTGCCTTGGAAGGACATTCATTGTACTGAGCAAAATGGAAGCCACGAAAGCTAGTAATAGTTACTGGAAGTTTTTGTGGGAATTACCTTATTAAATAGGCGAATTTTTCATAACTTGCATTAGTACTGTATATAGAGATATTCTGTAGTGCCTGATGGTCATTTCCGGCAAGTCATTTATACTTTACTCTGGAGTCTTGTAATCTATTTAATGGATTCTCTTTTTCTCATGATGTAAACAAAAAATTGATGTTTAAATCCATTTTTGCATAATCAAAAACAATAGTTCTAAGATCCAAATCAATAGTTTTTTTACCCTAGACAGTATGAAACAAAGTTAGTGTATGTACACTACAGATAAAATTTTAGGGATGTGATTATAAAATAATGAGACCAATTCTATAAAACGTTCATGGAAAAATAACACCACTTTATTTAGTGAAAATTTAAAGATTTTATAATGTTTGCATTTACCTCAAATATGCAGATTTACATTAATTTACTTTTCTCCTCCTCTCTTACAGGAAAATATATATGCAAGAGTAAGTACCTTGTTTTAATAATAGAAATCAAATGTAACTATAATGGGAGAGTGGGGGAATGGCATAACTGGGTGACAGGCATTAAGGAGGTCACTTGAGGTAATGAGCACTGGTTGTTATATGCAACTGATGAATCACTGAACTCTACCTCTGAAACTAATAATATACTATATGTTAAGTAAATTAAATTTAAATAAAATTTAAAAATATATATATAATGGGGATAAAGCTGTTGAGTATTTCCAAAAATTAGAAGTTTTGGTTTTTACAATTATGTCCATTGCTTTTAATACATTATTTCCATTTATCTGAGGTGATCCTACATATTAAATTATCTCATGTACTTTACAAAATGTTTTTGAAGACTCCTGGTATATAATTTATTTAAATCACAAGTTTGTTGGTGCCAGGAACTTTTTAGGAACTGCTCATCACATATATTATTTAGGAATATTAATGTGTTCAAAAACACACCTTCTTAAGAACTACATTAGACTTTAAAAAATCTTAGATAAATACTCTACTGGTTTTGAAGTTTCTGTAGATTAATGTACAAAAGAAAAGATTGTGCATTATAGTAAATATTGGGTTTCTTCTAATTTGGATTATTATATGATTTATAGAGAAAAAACAAACACACACATATATATATAATATGTTCAATATACCTAAAATATTAATAGGAAATAACTTGTCACTAAGACAATATAGAAATTATAAAGTAGCACACATATACACACACTTTGGAAGATGTCCATTTTTATAGAAGGGAAAGCATAGTCTAGTCTAGTACTGAATGGATGATACTGGCTTAAATACAAACTCATATTTATAAGGACTTTAAAAAAAGCACATTTGCTTTAGCATGGTCAGCAATAATCTAAGGGCCTGAGTTCCTAGTCTGTGTGTTTGTTCTTGTACATGTGTTTGTGTGTGTGCCTCTGTATTCTAAATTCCTGAAACTGTACATCAGGAAATAAAAAGCCTACAATATAAAAATTATATTACTTAATTTAATCTGTAAACACCTGTCATTCATGCTTTGTTACAGAGCAATGATGAGGAAAGATAGAATTCCAGAAGTGAGGTGCAAGAACCAGGCATCCATCATAAAGGGGACTGAGAAGTTAGTTTTTGACATAGCAAACAGGCACCAAACGCAACCAGTCCTCTCACTTTATGAGTCTTTTCTTCCAAAAGTAAAAAAATATATATGTGTATATATACACATGTGTGCATATATACATGTATATATATATATATGTGTGTGTGTATATATGTATATATATATATATATATACACACACACATCCTACAGTGCAAATGTAATTTTTTTCAATGAGTTCCCAATTCTGAGACAATTGAATTTGGAAAAGTGCATAATGGGTGGGGGCCTTTGTCCTTTCACACATGGGGGTCTTCCTGGCTTCTCTTCAGTGATAGCTGGTGTGGTTGGAGGGGGTGGGGAGATTAAGGTCTCATTAAAAACCCTGTGCCCCTGGCATTGTGCCTAGGACCGGAGATTTACATAGAGGAACTATGTGAATTACAGAAGAACTTCCTGTGCTACAAATTCTGCTCAGGTTTCTTTTCCTAAAGCTTAGGTCTTTATAACCAAAAGACCAAAAAGAGGGAGAGAGATTCAGAGAAGAGTGAGAGATTCTTTTAATATAGTTAGCATGCACAGGCTCCTACACACAGAATACAACAAACAGTACATTGTATTGAAATGCTTGCTTAAAAAAATCTCAATAGCTTTTAGGACAATCCCGCTGTGTGGGAGTTAGCAGGCTTTGTATGCCCCCTCTAGCCTATTCTATACATCAAGAACTGGAAAAGAGGACGAGCAATCGCAGCATGTGGCTGGATGAACATCAAAGCTACATTTGCCATGAGTTATTTTCCTTCCTGCTTCTCTCACTCTGGTCATGATGTGCACATGCTGCCACATAAAAGGGTAAAAAGCAATGTCAAGTGCTTTGTAATTGTTTGGCTCCTTAGCAGCTAAGGCCAGGAATATTGCAGCCAAGAGTGCATTTAGGAAATGTGGGTTTTTTGATACTTCAAAAAAAAAAAAATCTCCCTACTTATGGAAACGGAAAATTGTGTGTGGGTTCTTTTTTTTACAGTTTACATTTTAAAAAATGCAGAAAAAGACAAGAATACTTATAACTCCTAAAATGTTTATTTTGAATTATAATCTTATGCAAACATCATAGACAGTATTAAAAGTGACAAGAATCATAGAATCCTGCACCAAAAAGTCCCCCTAAAAGCATTTGATATAAGTCCCATGTTTGAAAGCAAGAAAAACATAACTATTCTAAATTTAACTATCTCCAGAAATGCAATGTTTCATCTTTATGCTTTTTCACTTTTTTTTACACGTGCTCTCTGTCTTGATCAGATATTTCTACCTTTGGATTCAGGGTTTCTATCGATCTCAAAATGTTATAAGTTATTTCTCCTTTCTTAAGCTTTATATTTTTAAAATTATTAAAGAAACACTGTGAAATATATTTTTAAAATTATTAAAGAAACACTGTGAAATACAGAAAATCAAAATGAAGACCGTGGGGACAATCGGTAGTCACATTCCACAGTTAACTGTTGTAACATTTCATGAGTCCCTCACTTCATAGCAATTTTTTCTCCACACACATGCATATTGACTAACATGGGACCACTATATATTTCCTGTATGTCAACTTCCTACCTCATTCATCAGTATATCATGGACACCTTTCTATGTTAGTAAATATAAATCCACATTGCTTTATGACTGCATAATATTTTACCTGATGTATATACCATAATTTAGTTTACCAAACCCTTATAGATACTTGAATGGTGTCTATCTGTCCTATAAAGATTGATGTTTTGTGTTCATTCTTATAAATGATCTCTGTACAATAATTTGATTTTCTTAGAAGGAGTTTCTAAAAGTGGAATTGCTAGATCCAAAGGCTCTTGATACTTAGTGCCAGAAAATTTAAGAAAAGTTGAACTAGGGATGCCTGGATGGCTCAAGGGTTGAGAGTCTGCCTTTGGCTCAGGGCGTGATCCCGGGAACCGGGATTGACTCCCACATGGGCTCCCAGCAAAAAGCCTTTAATGTTGTGTCCTGCTTAAAAACTATAAGATTGTTTTAAAGTGTAATCCCTGTTTCCTTTACATTCTTATGTAATTTCATTTTTAACATTAGAATCTTTGATCTATATGGAAATTATTTTGGTGTAAAGGATTCATTTTTGATATTTTCTTCTATATAACTAGATAATTATCGCAATGCCTGATACTGAATAATTCATTTTTTTCTATTGAGTAGGAATGTCAAATTTATTATGTACTTCATTTTCTTTTTTTTCTTTTTTTTTAATTTTTAATTTTTATTTATATATGATAGTCACAGAGAGAGAGAGAGGCGCAGAGACATAGGCAGAGGGAGAAGCAGGCTCCATGCACTGGGAGCCCGATGTGGGATTCGATCCTGGGTCTCCAGGATCGCGCCCTGGGCCAAAGGCAGGCGCCAAACCGCTGCGCCACCCAGGGATCCCTGTACTTCATTTTCATACATATTTGTATTTTATTTCTTGATTTTTTTATTTTGTGCTACTCTTCTATCTATATATGAACCCATACCAAACTGCTTTCACTTCTACAGCTTTATATTTTAGTGTAAGATATAACTATGGTTGACCCTTAAACAGCATAGGGCTTGGGGTGCTGACTCCCATGCAATTGAAAAGCCATGTATAGCTTTTGATTCCTAAAAAACTTTACTAATACTCTACTGTTGACCAAAAGCCTTACTGAGAATATAATTAGTCAATTAACATATATGTTGTATGTTCTATAAATTATATACTGTGTTCTTATAATAAAGTAAGCTAGAGAAAAGAAAATTTATTAAGAAAATCATAAGTTGAGGGCACCTGGGTAGCTCAGTCGATTAAGCAGCTGACTCTTGATTTTGACTCAGGTCATGATTTCAGGGTCTTGGGATCCAGCCCCTCATTGTGTTCCGCATTCAGCAGGGAGTTTGCTTGAGGATTCTCTTTCTCCCTCTGCCCCTCCTCCCAGAGCTCGTGCTAGCTCTCTCAAATGAATAAATACATTTTTTTTAAAAAAAGATAAAAACAAAGAAAATCATAAGGAAGAGAAAATATACTCAGTATTGTGCTGTATTTATTTTAAAAATCCATTGTATAAGTGGACATACACAATTCAAATCCATGTTGTTCAAGGGTCAACTATAATCTCCGCTCAATACTCTTCAGAATTTTCTTGAATATTTTTGCATGTTTCCTTCTTTAAAACTTTTGTGTTCTTGTAAAACTATATGTACCATCGTTTAAAAAGCCACATAGCTGGGCACCTAGGTGGCTTAGTCTGTAAGTGTTTGCCTTTGGCTCAGGGTCATGATCTCAGATCTTGGACTAGAGCCCCACATTGGGCTCCCTGCTCAGCTGGGAGTCTGCTGCTTCCTGCCCTGCTTGTTCTCTCTCTCTCTCTTTTCTCTCTCTCAAATAAATAAAATCTTTAAGAAAAAAAAGTCAAATAGTTCTATAGGATTTAGGAAAATTAGCAATTCCCTCTTCTCTCACCTGCTTCTAAAGAACATAGGCATTTTACTTAATATTTTGGTACTTAATCTTCATGATGTTAAAAACATGTTTGGTTTTTCCCATTGTAAGTATTATGTTTTGACTTCCATCTATGGAACACAAGAATTTCTCTCTCCCTATGCCATCTCGACTACACACACACACACACACACACACACACACACACACACCTCCACACACCCTTCCCATCTCTCCATTTTTCCCATGTGATTATATTGTCATTTGGATTAGAACAGTAGTCAGTGTTTGATTTATTATATTTGAGTGTATCTGAGTAAATTTCTTTTCAGAGCTAAACCTTGGAATAAACTGATTACTTGTTTTTCTGGGAGTTAACTGTTTATTTATTTTCATTTTCTTAGTTTTCTTTGT